TTAAATACATAAATCGATGTAATGGAAGTTAAAATGTTAAACTTACGTGGCAAGATCCTTTCTCGGCTGACGAATCAAATGCGCACACTTGCGTTGGATGGACATTATATCCAATATTCTCGTACATATACCTGCAATAGTCTTGGTCAGCGATCAAAATGTTGACTCGTTGTAGCTTGGTAGTGGTTGGTCCTCCTTCCTGTAAATTTATAATAACAATTATTCCTGTAGAGTGACATTGATTTTCTCTCAATTTTTTTACAGACATTGCATATAAATCTCAAGATATTATAATAATTAAATACAAATAATCGCTATTTCCGTATTTTCATATGAAAGTTACAGATTAAAGGGTATATTTATAACGATAAAAGACTCACCCAGAGTCTGCCCCATCCCGACACAACAGCTATATCATTCGGATTAACAACGTGATCTTTTGGTGGCAGGGGAACGGGTCCGACGGTGGCAGACATTATGAAGGGTTTTTCCACCTGAAAGACAATTTTTGCTTAAAATTTATTACTGACTGTAATTATTTATCAGAAAATAATGTAAACGAAATTTTAGCTTTGTCATGTATAAAAAGAAAGTGTACGCCATGCTTTTACCTTCAGTAGCGAAATATCGTTCATCCAGGAATTAGATGGATTATATCCTTCGTGCACAATGATTTTTACAACGTTATGCTCTGATTTCGGATCATTTAGGTTAATTGTGTCAGCAACAACTTTTATTCCATTGGCACTTTCTCTACACCACAAAATTTATTTCCTTAAAAGTTTGTCTAAATATGTATATATACAGTGAACGTGATCCATTTCTTACAGCAGTAAAATAATATTTGTAGTAAAATCTATTGTAGAAAAATGCACACTGGGGCAATATACATATAAAATTATTTGATTAAAAACAATAATAATAATAAAATTACCCTTCAACGCAATGAGCTGCCGTGATGACACATGTATCGGTCAGAATTGAGCCGCCACAAAAATGGAAGTCAGAATCTTTGTTTTGAAGAGAGACCTGTAAAAATCAGAGCACTTTAGTATTTGCATATTTGTTGTAATATTTTGATAAACGCTTGTAATTATATACACAAAATGAAAAATATATTTATATGTTTGATATAATATTTATTCATATATATACACTAGCATCTGTTTTTCGTAATAAATGTGTTTTGGTAATATGTATACCTGATACG